AAGATTGTTTGTGTTCTCCCCATCGCATTTCCAGTTATAGACAAGGTTTCCCTTGGTTTCACAGCTCAGGGTAATATCGGTGCCCTTAAGTTGATAGATATCATTGTGTTGAGTTTAGTTCAGGAGCATCAAGAATGGCAAGCATAGTTTTTCCACATTTAAACAATGGATAGCTAAACTGAGTTGAACGTTTTTTTGTTTTTTAAATCTAAGCTAAAAGTTAAAATAATGCTCTGTTTGCCTGGACACAGTGGGATGTTTACTCACAGTGTTCAGAAACAGTGTTAATGAGGGAAAAAAACAGGACGTTGTGATGTCTCCCTTACTTATGCTGCAGTTGTCGTGGGCTACTGAGGGGATTTTTATGATACGCTGGGCATTTATTAATCTCTTTATCTCTTTAAACATCTCTGGGTTTTTTTAGCCTTTTTGTATTTAATTATTCTTTGCTCTCACTCCAACCAGTCATAGCAGAGGACTGTCCTTCCCTGAGTCTGGTTCTGTTGTTTCTTCATGTTAAAAGGAAGTTATTCCTTTTTTCCTTCCCATTGTACAAGTGCTTGATCATAGAGGGTTGTGTGATTGTTGGGGTTTCTCTTTGGTATTGTATAGTCTTTACTTTACAATTCGAAGCACCTTGAAGCAGCTGTTTTTATGAAGTGGCACTATATAAATAAAACAGAATTAAATTGAACTACTTTTTTTTTTCTGCTGATGTTCACTCTCAAATTACAGGATTCATTATTCAGTTTTTTGGTTTGATTGTTAAATGACGTGTCACAATGGTTTCATTGTTTTTATACATCAGTGAAGTACTGAACAGGAACAAAACTGATGACATCACACAGCAGCCAGTTCTGCTTTTTTGGATTCTCTGGCAAACAACATTAGATAAAAGTTAGTTACATATACATCATCATTTTTAATTTTCTTAGCATTACACTGTATTCATTTCAAATTATTATTTTTGTATGCAATAGGTCTTTACTGCAATTAATGGGAATCATCTAGCTTTATTTTTGCACTCAAACTTTCAGTCTAACAGTAGCAGTGAATGGGAGATAAAAATGTCTTTGTTTTTAAAGCTGGAGCTTTTATTTCTCATTTCAGTGTGCTGGTAAACTTTACAGAGATATGATTTCCTCCATAGTATTCTACAATCTCAAGTGGATCCAAGATAAGAGAGTTGAGCTCTGTTATGCATATGATGTCAGGATCTTTGCCTCCCTCTTGTGGTTCAGGCCACTAATGCATTTGACTAAAGCTTGAGCTGTAGCTCCTATGCTCCTATGTGTAAAGTTATATGCACAATCTTTTGATCTTTTAGCTTCAACAACTCTTTCCACAAGTTCATGCCTTCAATCATCCTCTTGAAAATCAGTATCAATACACTTTTCAACTCCTTAGGCTTCCTCTCATTCTCCAGGATTTTGTTAAACAGTCTGGTTAGAGTTGACTGTCCTCTCTCTACCACCACAGGTATGTCATCTTAACCAACCACCTTTCCACTCATCACCCTCTTCATAGCTGCCCTCACTTGCTCCTTACTAATCGGCTGCACTTCCTGATTTTCAACTAGTCCTTGACTCTCTCATTTTCTGCATTCAACAGCTTCTCAAGTACTTCTTTGAATGTTGTAAATAAATAAAGAATCACAGTGATAACAGATACAACAGCAGAAATAACCTTCCACCCTTTGAGGAACTTTGAGGGGCTCAGAGTTCCCCTGAGCTGGTACTTCTCCAGAGTGAAAATAGCCAGTTGAGGTGGTTCAGGCAGGAAGCGTCTTATGCACCTCCAGGCAGTGATGATCAGGCACTTAAAACAATACTTTGAATTCCATATGCAATAGTATCTCAGATTATATAATCCATTCACAAAAATTGTTTGAAATTTCTATTGGTATGAATGGCTTTTTTCCTTCAGTACTTTGAGTAAATCAGTATCTTGATTAAACAGTTACCAGTCATTAGTTTGGTTCTTTTTCACCAGTGTGACAAATCTTGTCTTTCTCACAACTTGCAACACACATGTAAACGCAGGCATTGGTAGACGTGGCTCTTGTGACAGTGATAGTCTTCTGGCGCCCCTCAGTGGTCTCTTTTGCATTCACAGCATCTATACAGATCCAGCTGATGTTAGAGGGAGGGTTGCCATCAGCACTGCAGCTTAGTGTAACATTCTCACACATTCTCAGGGTGTAAATAATCCCACCGGTTAACATTTAGTCACTTTGATCTCATAGGTTGACAGGTGAAAGAGAAAAGGACCGTCTGTGCAACCAGAGTTGATTGAGCTCACAACACTTTAAGAATACATTCATATTGGGTGGGAAGTTGATATTCAGAGTTCACTTAGTGGAAAATAAGGAGGAAATATTACAAAGAACAACAGCAGTGTAAGGTGCTGAGGTTGCAGAAGGATGGAATGATAAGATCCGAAGCAGGTGCAGGAGGGATCTCTGGTCCTTTGGGTCCTAAGTGCAGCACAGCCTCACATCTGAAAACTAATCCAGGGTAATCTCTCTTGGGAATGATGACCGGATTTCCATGAGGGTCATTAAAACATTTTTGTGTGCACAGTTTCATTGCCTCTTTACCACTTCACTGTGAGCTCCTTCACGGGAGCAACATTGGTGACATTGCATTTCAAATCATACTCTGTGCTCTCCATCATTGGACTATGATCCATTGCAGAAATTGACGCGGTCTGAAGTTTTTGTAAATAAATGAAAGTAAAAATAAATTATGTCAATGAAGACACATTTTTAGTAATTTTGTCTTGATGTCTTTCCATCACTGCAGATGATTATAAATTCAACAGTCAAGATGTGATTAAAATGTAACTTTAGTACAAGCTGTTTAACTTTGTGGTACCTGTTTAGAAATCACCACCATATGCTGCGTGTTTGTGGCTCTCTGTGCATTCAGTTTTGTCTTCAGTAAATGAAAGTATGCTCTGTTGGGTTGTACTAAGATAACTGGCTTGGCCAATGAAGAATATCCAATTTCTTTAGCTTGAGAGACTTCTGAGTTCCTTTTGAAATCTGCTTTTGGTTAATGATCCATTTGCATTGTAAAGTGGTGTTGGATCAGGTTTGCATTCATCATTGTGTCTGAGTCTGAGCAGAGAGTATAGCCCTGTACACTTCAAAATTCATCCTGCTACTTCTATCAGCAGTCATCTCATCAATAAATACCAGTGGTCCGATTCCACTGGCAGCCACACATGCCTCCCCCCATGTTAAACAACATGCTTCGCATCATGAGTTGTTTTTCTCCTTCTCTACAGATTTATCTTCGTCCGTGTCAGAAGTTCACCTTGTTTATATCTGTCCAAGCTCTTTTAGATGCTTTCTGCCAAATCCAGTATTTCAAGTTAAAATCTGTAAATTTTGTCATAATCTGTAAATCTGTAAATTCTTTACCGTCGTTTAATGGTCGGGCATTGCACAGAAACAAGCACTTCACCACTTGTCTGTGTATGGTTGTGTGTGTGGTAAATGAAATTTGAATTTGAATTTGACTAGGGTTCTTTTTTGTAACATTAGACACCAACTGGTGGCCCTTGAGTTAAAAAAAAAGGTCATTTCTAAGTTGCTTTCAGTTTTCATATTATGACCGTTAATCTCATTCTTCCTCTTTTCTTCCTCTATTTAATATCATGCAAGCGAAGCAGATTATACTCTCACTGAAAGCTCTTTGCAAAAATCAATTTTCAGGCCAGTCAGATTATTCAGAAAGCAAAAAAAGCTTTTCCAAAGTTATCCCAGCAATTTGAAGGAAGGTCCTGTTGAATAGGATCCAAGCATAGGGATATGGGAATAAAGACCAAAAAGGACAAGATAAGTACTGCTGGAGTTATTGGACTTTTTACTTAATTCATACATACCAGTGACATCGCGTCACCCCCGTTAACGACCACCTCAGTAGCTTCAAGCGTAGGCTTAGCCTCTACAATGATGAAGGAAATCAGGTCAACGTAGCTTTCCTGTCCACATCACTCTCAAAAATCATAATAAGCCTTAAAGAGGAAGCGATCTGATCTCCACACAGGATGCCAGCTAGGAGGCTGTGCTGTAACCCGACAGCCTCCACTGGTTAAAATCATCCTATTGTTTAATCCGTGCTCTTCAATGAATTATGTTATAAAAAGTATTCTGTGGACTCTGGAAATCAGTGATTCCCTGGCAGAGAGTCCTGGACTAGCAGATGATCACCCTCTAATTCAAATCATTAATAATTCGCCTTTAAGTTCTGGCATATGACAATAGACTACTTTGTTTAAATGCAGTAATACATGTTAGGGCTACACTTTGTGCTTTTAATATTTCACAATTAAAATGAACTGTCGGTCAAAAAACATAAAAACAATAAAAAAATTAATTCAAACATAAGACACAATATTGCTAAATGTTAATTGTTTTTACAGCAGTTTCATACACTGTTTAGCAGACATATACATAACATTATTAACTCTGAAGCATAACCTTGTTATTATTTTAGATATTTCTGCTATTTGTTTTCTGGTATATGAAGTTGTTTAATTCAAGGAATTAATTTATGGAAAAATTAAATGTACATTTATACAATATTATTGATTGACTTGTAGGACAAATCATAAATTACATATGCAATTAAAATTTTACTTAATTTTTCATAATACAGGGAAATATCCTAAGCATTACTACTGACTGGTGTCAGAGGGACATCTGTGGCATTTGATACTGTGTCAAAAGAAGAATGCCAATTTTTTCTCTTTCTATAGTAAATAAAGACCAGGAGGGCGATGAGGCCAATGGCAAATACAGCGAGCAACACTCCAATGACTAGCAAAGGGACTTTATCTGTAAGATAAGCAAAATAAAAACAACATTAAAATAAGATCAGTTCTCGATGTCATATATTGTTCATTTTAAACATCAGTTATCACTTTTCTTTATACATTTCCATAACTGTTCTGCAAAAAGTAATCATACCTTTTATCACCAGTGAGACGAATCATGTATTTCTCCCAGCTTCATTCTCAGCAACACAAATGTAAATGCCTGCATTGGCAGACGTGATTCCTGTGATAGTGATAGTCTTCTGTTGTCCCTCAGTGGTCACGTTTGAATTCACAGCAGCTGTGTAGATCCATCTGATGTTTGAGGGTGGGTTACTGTCAGCACTACAGCTTAAAGTAACATTCTCACCCTGGAGCACCTCCTTGCTTTCATTTCCTTCTTTGAACTCAGGGGCATCTGTGGAAGAAATACACGAGAGATTTAATAAGATAAAAATAGTATGCTTCAAACTTTACTTTCATCTAAAATTATTTATATTCAATATTGACAAATCATTTAAAAAGATCGTGTGATTCTGTTGCAGAGCTCTGAGGTCGAAAAAAAACATGAAATACGTGGGTGGAAATCTTACAGAGGATAACAGCAGTGTAAGGTGGTGAGGATGTATTAGGGAGGAACTTTGGTCCTTTGGGTCCGAGGTGCAGCTCAGCCTCACATCTAAAAGTTAATCCATTGTAATCTCTCTGAGTGGAGATTTTCAGGGTAGAAGATGCGTTTACTGGGATCGCAGTAGATTCATTAAACGTCTCTGTCAGCACAGTTTCATTGCCTCTGTACCACGTCACTGTGAGATTCTGTACAGGAGCAACACTGATGACAGCACATTTCAGATCATACTCTCTGCCCTCCACCATCGGAACATGACCCATGTCAGACACTGACACAAAGTCTGGAGTTTCTGGAAATAAAACAATTTTTATTTTTTGGTATTGCTGATTTACAATGTTAAAACCAAATTAAATCTACATCAGTACAGGAAAAATGCATTTCTAAAAGTGTTAGTACTACTTAGTACTAGTGCAGGTGCCAGAGTCACATTTTGATTTCCACATAAGGAACATTTGAATTGGATCAATTATCATGTCTAAGCATGTCTTTAATCATTGCTTTCTTACATATACATTTTCCAGTTCATGCAGGTCATAATACAGTAACACAGTCTGTGCACATGTACTTACTGTAAACAGTGATGAGTGGACTCACAGTACACTGGGATCCATCAACCAAAGTAGCATAGCAGGAAGGACTTGGAGTCCACTCTTCTAGTTTTTCAACCCTCCAAGTGACAACAGGAGGGTGTTCAAATCCTGTACCTCCAAATGGAGCCTCCCAGCCCATTCCTTCAACATCTGTAGCTGATGTGCTGCAGTTGATTAAAATTGGATCTCCAAATTTCACAACAATTTCAGAAGGTGTCAGTGTTAAAGGGCAACCTGCCATTAACAAGCACACATGTTAACATTTAAAACTGATTTTGGATATAAAAAGACATAAGTCCCTAAAAAAGGACAGTAGTTGTAAGGTAAACAGGGATGTGTACCTCTTGGTCCAGCATGAACATGGAATGTCTTAGTTATGTTTCCTAGATAATAGGTAGCTGTGCAGGTGCAGGTTGTGTTGCGTTTTACTAGGGTGATATTGAGACTGTTTGTGTTCTCCAACATATTTTCCCCATCACAAGTCCAGCTATAGACCGGAAGAGGGTTTCCCACA